AGATACATATCACATCCCGGATATTTTGCTAGATACATATCACATCCCGGATATCTTGCTTGGCATCTTGATTGGCATGCCGCGTGGATTCTGCATCGGAACATATAAATACCTCTTAAGGGCTACGCCAAAAGGGGATGAAAAAACCAACCCTAAACTCCTTGTTCCTTCGCTTTATAGGTAGCCCCGATTATTGCTGACTTAAGCATCGGAGTGTCTACCCCGAGATCCGTCTCGGGGCTTTGCAGGTCAACCCGGAGTGCAAATCTGAAGAGAAGAAGGACGTCGGGTTTGGTGCAGTTACAGGTGACTGCCTTACAGAGATCTTGTTCGGACCAAAGCTTTGTCTTTTTACTGGAACTCTATTGCAGAATCCAACAAATTCCTCAAAACACCTTGGCTCATGCTTACTGTTTCTAAACGAGGTTGTTACAGCTTCATTAGCATTTTCAAAAACTTGCCTCGCAGTCTGCACTCGACAACTTGGTCTGTGCTTCTCGATGAGTTTCCTTGCATTGGATCATCACATGGATGGCTGATTTTCTTGCAACTTGCTACGTTCATCCTTGTCCTATTAAACCCTTCTCGAATGTCCGAATTCAACTTCCATCCCTAAAACCTTTCTTCCATATATACAAAATTGAGAAAGGCCATGGAGCAGGAAAGTATTTAGTTCTACGCAGGGATCCATCGAGAGATATAAACATATGCTCAAAGTGGCTCGGCAATTTTTCATTCGAAAAGTATTTTAACTGCAGAACCTGTTGGTGATTATGGCGTAGTTTTTGTCTCCAGGGGATGTACTCTTCGATATTACAGGAATGGAGATAGACCATGGATCAAATTCAATAGTTATGATGATGAAGAAAAAAACGATCTCATTACTTACAGAGACATCATCTGTCACGAGAACAAAATTTATGCACTAGGTTATTTGGTTGATTACCTTGATATTTGGGATTTAAGAAGTTATGAAGCCAGAAAAATTAGAATTGTGATTCCTTGTTTTAGGGAATTGATTAAGAAGAAAGTAGAATTAGCAGGTTTGCCATCACGTTGTTGGTCTAGTGGAATATACGTGGTAGAATCCAGAGGAGAGACTTTTCTTGTTGTGAGGGATGTGGTTGATGAAAAGAGAGACTTTAAAAATGATTACTTAGGAGTGACGAAGATGTTCCAGGTGTTCAAGTTGGATTTAGTAGGGAACAAATGGGTAGAGGTGAATTCTTTAGGGGACGCGTCTTTGTTTCTTGGTGGAAATCATTCAATTTCTATAGCCACAAACAATGATCGTGCAAGTCGTAAAGGGAATTCAATTTACTTCACGGATGATTATTGGTCGATGATGCATGTAAGGGGACGTGACAACGGAACATATAGCTTGGATGATGGAAGTTGCTACTAATTTATCAATTTGAGTCAGAAGAGATCAAGCTAGCATCTTGGTGGATTGTTCCCCCTCAAAATGCATGAGAAAAATTTTTTTTTCTTGTTTTTACATAAAACATATTTTACATAAAAATAAAAATATTGTTTTGAAATGAATTGATTCTTTCATCATATTAGCTTGTTTTAAGTTCTCTATTATGTTATGTCTTTTTTTTTTTTTTAACTATATATGCTGGAAGAGTCTGCCTCTTCTGTATCATCTAACTTTAATAATATTCTCAAACCACCTCCTCTTCCAAGTAAAATCTACACAAGGAGTGAACAACCCAACAGGACTCCAGAGTGTGGCTTTGTACCAAGGAAACAAAGAATGTATGGGACAAGCTTTTCAAAGAAGGATAGGGTGCAGATGTATATATTATTACAGAAGATAAAATGTATATATTATTACAGAAGATAAAAGCATATACTTTGGCTCATTCCTATGTTTTGCTGAGTTAGTTATGCTTTTACCCCTATTAAAATAGAGTGAAAGATAAGCAGCTCTTATCATGGACAATTGTTTAACTAATGTCAGGGAACTTGGTTCATTCCTGTGTTTTGATGAGTTAGTTGTCCCTTCTTTTTTTATATACACAACAGTCAAAAGTTAAGCATGTCATGAGATGCATCAAGATTCTTGGAGGACTTTACAGAGCTGTCTATGCATTTGTTCATTTTCTATGCTCATCCTGGTTAGTTTTTCTATACAAATATCAGCAACAATTACTCAAAAACTGTTACTTTGAAAAAGACAAATTTCACACTTCAATTCTCTCAATTAATATCTTTATGTAAACACCTTACCAAACTAATCCACATCATGGTATGTACCTGAACAGATTAGGATTAGATTTGTCCCTCATAAGATACTCTTGCTCAATCAAACTTTCAATTTGCATTTTGAATTCTCTGCGATGAAGCTGCAAAAGCAACATTTGATTGTATCAACACCACTACATATAGCATGCAATTTTTGTAACTTTTAAAGAGGAATAGAGTGGTTTCTTGGACCTTCAACTTGGAGCACAATTGCTCAAGACATTCCTTTGACAATCGTTGAAAACCCAAAACCTTATGCCTTTTCATTATCCTCATTATTGTGGCTCCAATGACATTTGATCTATGAATTCTATTTTGGACACGAGTCTCATCATCTACAACTACCTTCTTCTCAACCAAAGGAGGTATTGAAATCTTCAAGTTGAACAAAAGATAACATATAAGTTGATAAGAAGGAAAATAAATGAATATCTAAATAGGATAAAGAAATAGAACTTAACCTTGATCCTTTTCCTTCTATCTGTGAACTCTGAGTTGAATTCGAAGTAATCACTAGGAGATATGGTTTGTGTGTTTGGTTCCTTTTTCAATATCTTATGCTTTGCACAGGATAAAGGTTGTAAAACCCTCACAAGATCCTTATCAGGCAACTTTAATGAGACCTTGATGTCTGAATACTTGATCCTATCAAACTCATTAAATAATAGCAATGCACAGGCCTAAAAGTAAAACCCAAATTCAAAGTTAATGACAAAAACACAATCCTAAGACAAGATTATTTACAAACCAAAAAAAAAAAGGCTAACATATTACCTGAGCTGTAGTTACAACCAACTCCATACTTTTGGACTCAAAATTGCCTATGAGCTTACAGGTCCCCAAGGAATTTATCCATGTAAGTTTCCTACAATTCTTTTTAGTTTGATAAAACTCAGTGAAAGCCTTAACACATTTGACCTATGCAATGGAAATTTCAGAAAGAAAAGGTGTTAGATACATTAGCATGAACAAAGAAGAAACTTGTGAAATCTTAAAGTCCAATGCTATCTTTTTGAGAATTAAACCCCTTTTTGCTTAAAAAGGGTGATGGTGAATGATTCAAAATCTTAAAACCAAGTCATCCATTTGATAGGAAAAGGTGTAGAGTGTTGAGTGGAAAAATCTCACATCAATGATATAACAAAGAAGTTTGTGAGTTAAATATAAGGAGAGCTACTCCACTTATTGTCTATTCATTTTAACATGGATATAAACCTTGTGTTGGAGCTCACATACATAATTTTCACATGGTATTAGAGCTCAAGTTTCATTCTAGAAAGCCTATACTTAGCCCATCTAATAGGACCCAAAGTTGATACTAAGTCTGCATGTACATGAGCATATTAAGCCACATGACAAGATCGGACAGGACCTGAAGTTGATACTAGGTGCTTGCATGTAAGAGGGCGTGTTAAGTGAGAAAATCCTACATCAATAATATAACAAAGAAGCTCGTGGGTTAAATATAAGGAGGACTACTTCACATATTGCCAATTAGTTTTAGGTTGGATGCAAGCTTTATATTGAAACCCATATGCACAATTTTCACATGGTAGCAAAGCCCTGACTTTGTTCTTGAAAAGTTGTAGAGCCTACACGTAAGCGGGCATATTAAGTCACGTGGTAAGACGCAATGTTCATATCAGGCTTACATGTGATGAGGCATGTGGAGAGGGAAAAATCCCACATCAATACAAGGAGGGTTACTCCACCTATTATTAATTGGTTTTAAGTTGGATGCAAATCTTGTATGAAACTCACATGCATAATTTTTATATGGTATTAAAGCATAAGTTCCATCCTAGGAAGCCCATTGTTAACAAACATGATAGAACTCAAAGTTGATACCTGGCCTACATGTAAGGGGGGTATATTAAGTCACGTGACAAGACCCGATATGGTATTAAAGCCCAAGTTCAATCCTGAGAAGTCCATTGTTAACCCGCCTAACAAAACTTAAAATTGATACTAGGTCTGTATGTAAAGAAGTGTATTAAGCCATATCACAAGACTTGACAGTTATACTGCGCTGACACATGAAGGGGCATGTTGATTGGACACCCATATACACAATTTTCATATGGTATCAAAGCCCAAGCTTTGTTCCCGAAGAGCCCATTATTAGCCCACCGGAAAAGACCTTAAGTTCATGCCAAGCTTACATGTGAATGGGTGTATTAAGTCACTTGACAAGACTGGATGTTCATACCAAGCTTGTACACGAGGGGGACAAGACTTGAAGTTCATGCTAGGCTTGCATGTAAAAAGGCATATTAAGTCACATGATAAAACCCATGTTCATAATGGGCTTACACAAAAAGAGGTGTGTTGAGTGGAAAAATCCCACATTGATGATATATCAAAGAAACTTGTAGGTTAAATATAAAGAGGGCTATTTTACCTATTGTTAATTAGTTTTAGGTTAGATGCACACCTTGTGTTGAAACCCATATGCACAATTTTCACAAAGAAAATCAAAATGGTGCTAAAGACATGTAAGCGATCAAAAGACATGTAAGAGATCAAAAGACAAGAAACAACTCAATGTAATACACCATACCATTTCAGTTGGAAGGTTAAGATGAAAAGACTTGTAGCAAGGCCAACGACGGTCGGTGAGAACAGTTACAGCAAAGTCAATCCCTAGATCTATATATGGAATGGTGCTCAAGAAATCCTCAAAAGCCACTTCATTTTGTTTTGCCAATGTTAAATCTCTAAGCTAAACTCAAGACATAAAATCTCTAGGTTAGCATCAATAATTTTGGAATACAAGAAACAACTTCCAATTCACAAATTACCATTTGCCCCATCTTCCCAATGAAGGGTTGCAAGTGCCACCTCAACTGTGTTAGAATAAATGCCTCAAATTCCACATTGGCATTCTTGTAAAAAAGAAGCCTTTGAGTCATCTTTTTCCTATCAAAAAAATATTCAACAACAAGTAGAATAGAATGATGATTAATAAGATATGATTAATTTTCATTTTAATAATTAAATTTAACCAAATACCTACCAATAAAATTTTGCAAACAAATCCCTGTCGGCACATGTGATATAATCAAGCAAGTCTTCTACCTAGAGATTACAAACCATATATTAAGTATGAAAATAAGACTAGAATGATCAGATTAATTAGGACTTGAACCAAAAGTAGCAAACCTTCTGAAGGGTTTCTTCAATTGCTTCGTTTCCTCCTTTCCTTATAATGTTATCACAAAAGGAAGCCAAAATTTTTGAACATGACATCCCAACCACACCCTTTCTCCAAAATTCTTGAAAAGCAATCTTGAGATCCTAGAAGAAATGGAAGAAAATCAATTTTGAAGTAACAGCCTGTAAGGGTACCTTAAAAGATAACAAAAGAGGCTTGAAAGCTACCATTGGTATGGTTAAGATTTATACAAGTAAGCTATTGTTAGTGTTGTTACTGTTACTATTGATTCAAGAGTTGCTTCTAATACAGTAAAGTTAAGGCCTTACTCAATTCCTTATCAAGAATTGCAACCTTGTTACTAGTTATCTATTATCTAACTATTAGCTCTATCTTGAGATTGAATAAATTTAGCTTAGTTATTATCTTGATTGCACAACTACTACTATTAAGAGTTAGCTACTAATTAATATTGTTCGCTCTCCTCACCCAAGAGGAACTCACTCTCTAGTCAATTTACAAGCTCTTTTCCTAGCTTGTCTATCTCTAGCTCTTTAAATAGCTACCACATAACCATTATTTATCACATACCAGAAGTAAACAAGTTTCTCCCTTGAAACAATCATTGGTGTAGGTATAGTATTTGTCACGCAGCTTAATAGCCTTCATTACAAAATCCTAAAAAACAACAAAAGAGGATTAATATAGTATAAAATCCAGTAGTTAATAGAATTACAACCCATCCTTGCATTGCCAACGACATGCTCATATGGGTAAGGACAAGCAAAAACAAATCAGTTGCATCAATGTTAAGTCAAATTGAGGCTTTCTAGTAATATTATATGCTGTAACATCAGTTGCCTCAATGTTAATGAATCATTAAGCAACTTTATCAAGATACTTAATAGAAGATCTATCTTCAGTGCTCTACCTTATAAATAAGTGGAAAAGAAACCTCTAAAATCTTATTACATAAACTAAGACAACTATAATACAAACCTTTTCATTGCTTGCAGCATCCTCATCATGTTCAACCAATGCTCTAGCTTCAACAACAAGATGCTGTGAAAAAGCAAATGAGAGACTTATTTGAATAAATAGAAAAGAAAAGAATGAAGAAGGTAGTTAACATATCAATACATGGTAAATGGATGGACGACTAAGTGAAAAGGGAATACATGAAGATGCCTTTTAAAACAAGATTTGAAAATCAATTTGCATCCAAGCTTCAAAATTTGGACTTGTAAAAGGCAGACATGGATGAATACCATCAGTATGACCATAGACTCCCTTTCTTTTGAATACAAGAATCATTAATTTTTTCCAAATAGCATAATTTTCATGTGTCAATGTCTCAGGGACAAAGTTCTTGATACTATACACAGTGAAAAAAGGGTGAGAGGAGGTGCCGCTAGGATATGTAAGAATTATAGAAAACATAGAGGAGATTTGTTTAGAGGAAGACAAAGCCATATTAGAGACAAGGAATAAAGATTGAGTAAAAGGAAGAAGAGAGAAAACCTAGGCTCTTGTAACATGAAGCTGAGAATGATTCTGATGTCATTGACAAAAGAGATTTAAGTTTTACATGGTAGATTGTAAATTAAAAGTACAATTTACTTTATACATTTATTTAAATATTTTGAATAAAATAATATTAAAAATAATTTTATTAAGAATATATAAATAAATTCATAAAAAACTATACTTTTAATGTACAATTCAACCCATAAAAATACTCTCTTTTTTTTTGACAAAATAGAGTTACAGACTTACACTATTTATATACTATATGCATGAAGATAAAAAGTCTAACCGCTGCGAAAATCCGAGAAATGATAATCAAGCCTCCAGGAATTTGAGAACAGAGCTCTGCCATTCTTGACAAATCCTCCACCTAACATTAGGAACGGTGCAATACTTTATGGTTAATTAGTTGAAAGGTTAAGTGGCACAATTTATGCATTAGATAGAGAGCCTGTAATCACCTTGTAATTTTTCCTATAGGTCTTCCCCATACCAACTTCAACAAATATATCTAGAACATTCTTCAATAAGGATCTGTCAATGTGCTCGCCCTTATTTGCTTGATTTTTCAACAAGTTATTGTTAAGAGAAATTACAGCTTCGCTCAGTCTTCCATATAGCTCTTGGTAGACCTGAAATCAAAGAAAATCAGTTTCTAAATATTCCTCTTGGAAGGCTAGAGCTAAAGTCAAGAGAAAGCAATTTATAAGGGTTCTTGAAATAAACAGTTTTTGGGAGGAAGTCGAAAGGAAGATCACGAGATTTCTTGAAAAATTTAGTTTGGCTTGCTCAGGTTTACCCAAGCATAAGCCTTTTTATAGTTATAATATGAACAATGAGGGTACATGAAACTCAGAAAATGCATGATCTTAAATGAAATTGTTCATGAATCATATGATTAGTATTCCAACACATTCTTTACATACCGGGACACGGAAACAAGTGATTCCAACTTCATGGAGGGAAGGCAATGAATTTTGAGATATGTAGTTGCCCTCAAGATATTGAAAGCAATTGGAAAGCCAATTGACAATCTCTATATGGTGATCCCATCTATGAACAAGCTCTGTCAAGATAGATTCACCATGCTTCTCTCTTAAAAATGGCAACACCTAATTAGAAAAAAAGCATAAGCAATGCATTGAAAAAAATTAAAACTAGTACAATAACTTAAGCAAAATTTCAAATTAAAAAGGCAACATATGGCTATAAATTTGACTATAAAGCATGTAATTCAGCCATCTGATGGCTAAACTAACACAGTATTGCTTCAGACTTCAGGAACAAATCAATATGATTTAACTGTTTAAGCCAATTATACAGCTCAAAATTTTGAAAGCAAGTCATAAACCCATACTGTTGATGTGATGTACTTTCCAATACACTCTCTATACTTGTTATACAGCTGCTGACAATAATAGTGGGGCGGCTTTTGGTTACAGATTTCAGTGATAATTCTAAAAAATATTATTAAGGAAAAGTTTCACATTGATAGATTGCATCATACCATTAATAAAATTAATATTGATACATACATCCTTTATTTTAATATATTTCACAATATATTTATTAAAAAATTATTATTTTCAAATTTAAATTAGAGACAAAAAAAACCTTAAAGTTTTAAATTTTAATGGCTGATGAACCAATGAGCGTTACTAGTTTATTGAATCAGAGAGTGTATCAATCATTTTTTTAAAAAATTATCAATTAGTATATTTAACATTGTAAACAAACAAATAACATAAAAAGGATACAGAGAAAGATTTTCGGTGTCCTCATAACTCAACTTCGGCTCCAGGCCGTCCAGGTTATTCTTCAGCTGTGTGTTCACCCTTTGCATTAATTCCCATCCTTGACCAAGGTCAATCGTCTTCTCCTCATTCATTGTCATGTTGCCACACCCCAATCACCAAACCTTCTGCAGAGGTTCAATCAGCAAAAATAGTTTAATCAAGCAACTCATTAAAAAAAAAAAAAAACCTCATCTGTCAAGGCCCTAAAGTCAAAACCATTTTTTTTCCTTTTGGCACACAAGAACCTCTAGGAAAACACAAAGAAAGAAAACATTGGTTTACATGATCTTCTTGCAGCAATGTCACTGGGAAACTAAGATGAAACAAATTCCACATCCAAGATTTAAAACCACCCTCAAGCTCAACCTTAGTCAGTTTAGCCAGAGCTAATGCAGACGATGCTCTCTGATGCTCAGTTGTACACATTTGTCTTTGAATTTATGTAATCATATATTATTTATCTACCATGTTTCCACTGGATGTAGATTTACCCACAAAACAACCCTCAAAATGAAGAACAAGGACACACAACTAAATTGCTGACCTGGCAGCAGTTAGTTAGAAAATTTTCAAGTCAAAGTGCAATGGCACAACAAAATAAGGCACCTAGTTGTCCTGAAGCAAGTTCCTATTACCAAACTGTCCAATTTTGCACAACCGAAGCCAATTACAACTAAAATAAATATTTCCAATTTTGCCTTCTATTTTCTATGAAATTTATCTTTTCTTTCTATTATTTCTTTTAATTTTTCTCCTTTTAAAAAAAAATTATTCCCTTTTATATTGAAGTTTTTTATTGCTTCCTTAAAATCATTTAACCCAATTCTAAGCCCAAATTCTATTGCCATTAAGCCTCACACTAACCATCCTGAAGTTTCCACCAAAAAAGAAAAAAAAAAAAAAAAAAATATATATATATATATATATATATATGTATCCTGAAGTCTATTTAACTCAGATCCAATATTCTACCAAGCCCACATAGAATAAGTTAAGACCAATTGACACAAACCAAACCCGATTCCATATCTCGCCCCTTGCATCTAAAGCCCACAAACAAAATCTTCTATGAATTACAGGCTGAAAAAAGATCGAAACCTAAGTTCATCAAAAAAACAAATAAGCGTCAGTGAAAAAACTTGAAGTTAGAAAAATCCAAAAAACTGAAACGTAGAAACCATTGTGCATTTCCCTCGTTTTCCACCTAAATCAATCCAAACAAGTCCAGCCATGCCATTTCTAGCCTAAAAATTAATAAAGAAAGCATTCAATCATCTGATCAAAAAGACAAAAAAGAACCATTCAACCATG